GTTAGAAATGCCCCCATCCCAGATCTCCTGAGTCAGAACTTCTGAGGGTGGGGCCTAGCCATCAGTGATTGACAGTCCTCTGTCCACGCTAGAGTTTGAGACTCACTGGCCTCCAGCATCTTGCACGATCTGGCCTCTTTGAATGAATCTCCTATAATTCCTTCTTCTTGCTCTCTCTACAGTGACCTTCCTCTTCCACAAATGTGACAAACTCGATTTTTCCTCAGGGCCTTCCACTTGCTGCTACCTCTGCTTGGGATATTCTTTCCCTGGACCTTGTGCTCTCATTCTGTTTAGATTTGATGCTCAGTGGCCCTCTCTAACCACATAGATGCTGAAGTCATTGAGCCTGAGGATGGAGAGGAGGAACATTTTTTGCTTGCCTGTCTCCACCTCCTTTGTGCTCCAGGGGGCTGACTTCTATAAACCACATCTGTGGCCTCCCTTGCCTTTGGGTCCTTCTAGTCAGATTTGTCCAGTAGGCAGTGATGTGACAATATAAGAAGAAGGGAGCTGGGTTGGGGTATCTATGCCCTTGGCTCCCTCCCTGTGGGCTGACTGTGTCCTTCTCCACACAACTCTCTCTTTTGAATTTTGTACCATGTGCTGTATTAACTGTTGAGTAAAGGTTATTTCTGCATTAGAACTTAAACCATGAAATAGATGGTGTATGAATCTTGGATGAATGAAGAGCGTGTTGAAATAGGAGGAGGAGGATGTAGTGTGATATAAGCTGAAGAAGTGAGGAGAGGACACTGATTTTTGTCAGCGTGGATAGCTGGGCTCTGTACTGTCTGGTCTCCCATCTGTCAGTACCTCAAGGAAAACTTTCTGCGAAAATAAATCAGAGGTACATCTGTAAAGTGTGATAACAGCTTTGTTCATTCATAAACACATCCTTACTGTGTGCTTGCTGCATACCAGGCCCAGTGCACGGTGCTGAGGATACCATATTCAACATCTCTGAACTTAATGGAACTTAATGTTCTGTGAGTGGGGAAGATGGGTAATGAAAGCAAATTAAGTAAATATAATATAGGGTATGTTGGTGACTGTGCCAAGGAGAGAAATCAAGCAGGGAAGTGTGTGTGCCCCGGTGAGGGTGGGGGTGGAATTTTAGGCGGGATGGTGGAGGAAGGCTTCTGGAGAAGGCAGCGTTGGAGTGAAGACCTGGGGAAATGCTGGCACATGGGAAGAGCGTTTGCTGGGGAAGGTCGTCCAGAAGACGTGACCACAGGTTTGCCCTGCAATCTGGACCCAGGCATTTGGAGGCGCTTCACCCCTTTTCCTGTCCTTGGAATGTGCTCTCTGCTTGCCCTCCCCAAGCTTGAAGCTACCCAAGGACACAGCCTCCAGACTGAACCTGGTTAAAGCTTCTCCATAAACTTTCTATTCATTTTGCAGCCACCCAAGACAAGCCTTGTGAGTCTTGTAAGCTCCCTTGCTGATGAAATTGCCTCCTGCCAGTCTGGAGTGGGCTGTCTTTTTCCTTCCTTTTTCCTTTGGTCTCTCCCTGCCCTCTGTGTCTGGGGCCAGTTTCGGATTTCACCTGGGAAGCTCCGAGGAGATTTCGGAGATTTTGACCCAACAGCATTGCAAACAGGAACAGCAGGTGCACAGACCCTAGGGAGGAGGGAGGGGGACAGCAAGGAGGACACTGGCAGAGCAGAGCGAGGAGGGTTAGGAGGTGAGGGCTGGAGAGGGAGTGGGGCCAGGTGTTGGTGTGGGCAGATCACAAGCCACCTAATCCAAACAAAGCTCCCTCCCTCCACTCCTCCCCTCCCTTACCTGATGCTCCCACGGTCACAAAACAGAGCAACCCTGGTTTTCCTCCTAAATTTACTCTCTCATTATCCACTGAATAGTTCAGTTCACACCCACCCCTGTTTAGTCACCTGATCCCATCTTTCTATTGAATCTCTCCTTTTCCCTCTGTCCTCTTCACCACTGCCTTTATTCAGGTCCCCGCTTCATGCCTGGATTGCTGACTTCCAACTTACAGACTGTTGTAAAGATGTTGGCTTTTGCTCTGACACCCAGTAAACACCCAAACTAGATGGCAGCTCGTAGGGAACTTAAAGACTCATATTTTGAAGACAAGGAGGCTGAGATTCAGAGAGGTGACATTACTTCCCTAATAATTATTAACGAGTCTGGGATGAGAACCCAGATCTCCTGCCTGGGAGTCAGCAGCAGCATCACATTGCTAGCCCACCTTCACATCACTGAGCTGTCTTCATGTGTGACGGCAGCAGTGGGGTCCACTCGTGTGCCACCATTCATACCACTGTTAATCTTGAGGGTTTGGGGGGGAAAGTAAGCTTAAACAGAACATCATTTCTTATCATTCATGTTTATAATTGTCCTTTTAAAAAAACAAAGCTGTTGTTTCCCAGAAAGTAAAAGGCCAGATCTCTTTTAAAGTTTGGTTACTGGGTTTGAAGGGAGCATTTCCTGATATTCTTCTGCTATAAGGAACAGCTTAAAGAGTGGAGCGTGGAAATAGATAAGCAGAGTCCTACTGTAGAGCACAGGGAACTGTATTCAATAACTTGCAATAACTTATAATGAAAAAGAATTTGAAAAAGAGTGTGTATGTGTATAACTGAATTACTGTGCTGTACACCAGAAACCAACACAACATTGTAAATCAACACTGCTTCAATTTTAAAAAAAGAATAAACAGGATCAAAAAAAAAAAAATAGAAGATGATAAGAACAGAATTGTACCCTCTCTCATTTTAGTAGCCAAGTGTATCATTTCCCTGAGTCTGTTTCTTCATTTATAAAGAGAAAATAACAACTGCTCAGCTTATCTGAGAAGTGATGTAAGTTTCTGAGATGTGTGTGAAAAATGAATTATAAAGGTAAGGTGCTTTTATCTTATGTAATAGCCTTTTATTTGTTGACACAGTTAGTGTTTAGTATATACACAATATGTTAAATATTTCTGTGATTTAATAAATACCTCCAAGTCTCATATTTACAATGAAACCAGTTACTATGTTTGAAGTGTTAAACTTCAAAGAAAGTTTTGGTGTGGGTGGAGAGTATTGAGGACAAGTACTATTTAGTACTAAAGTGACTAAAGTGTAAATTATTTATCTCCCTCTTTAAATGCCCTGTATATGTATCCAGAGCAGCAGTGGGTTGGAAATCTGTTTATTTTGTGTAACAGTTTTAAGTGCTACTTTGTTGGCTAGATTGAGGGCTTTGAACTATGTATCTTTATGCAGCCACAGTTTATCAGAATGTGGAGAACCTGATACAAGTAGCTTGAAAGCTTCTGAGCTCATACTGGGAAACTCTACAGTTTTGTTTTCACATGTTTTATGTGTTGTTTCAACAAAAGCCACTTTAAAATTTTTTCTGGGTTACCTTTTAGATGTAATGGATTATCTTCTATGTTTTCTAGTATTCTGGGTTACTCTCTGTTATACACATTTATGTGAGTTAAGAGCTTTGGTTGGAGACTTGGCTCACCTTAAGAAAACACGGTTTTAGCGCACAGCGGAGCTGTAAGCCCTCTGGGGCTGAGCCTACTGACCCAGTGGGCTGCCTTCTCTTGTGCATGTCTTGAACCCTTACTCGAACCAAATCCTTGAGGCACCTAGTCTGCTGTCTTAGCCAGTGTCCACCATCGTCCCTAATAAGGTGCTGCTTTTTTTTTTTTTTTTTTTTTTTTTTTTTAAAGAAGAACCTAATGCAGCTTTCTCACTTCTGGGGTAATGGGAGAAGTTAAAGCTGGATGGGGAGGTTGTATGGTTGTCATATGACATTCCTGTGTCATTGTGATCACAGTGCAGATCCTACTCATTTTGCTTTGTTATAGCCTTAAAACTTAAACTTTCCCCAATGTTTAGCATGGTCTCGCTAATTATTTGTAAAGACCGTCTACTGGTCCATCAAGTTTATGTTTCACAGCCTTTGCCATTTTCTTCCTTTGATTATGATTGTTTTCACAGGATAAATTCTCACAATGGAATTACACTTTCAAGTTGTCTGTTTTTTTATCTTTTTCTTTTTCTTTTTCATCCTGATATACACTAATCTGCACAGAGCAGGTACTCACTGAGTGAATGAGCATAGGGGTTTGCTGATTTGCAAGGCCATCAACAATTCATTTGTTGCTTCATTCAGTCTCTTCAGTACTAAGAATTCTAGGAATTAACAATGGCTTTTTGGTTGGTTGGTTGGTTATTTAATAGGTGTGAAAACTTAAATTCTTCAGTAGCAGGTCTATTTTTACTGGGAGAAAGATTGTTAATGAATTTTAGATCTAAATCTTCTGGTCTGTGTTTATGTACAGAGTCAGATCAATTTTAGCATAACAGCCTTTCATTTCTAGTTACATCTTACTGATGAAGATTTATGCTTTAAAGTAGGTATTTAATTGGATTAAAGCATCTTAAGTTTAAAATACATTTTTTTCAAACAGATAATATATGCACATGGTATAAATTGTAGATTTCCCTCCTAGTTCTGTCCCCTGTTTCCCATCCCGCCTTCAGAAGCAATACCTGTTCTGTTCTTGTGTATCCTTCCCCAAAAGAGGCTTTGCATATGTGTGTGTGTGTGTGTGTGTGTGTGTGTGTGTGTGTGTGATATCCCTTGATCATCTTCACAGGACTGATAGGAAGATCTGTTTGTAGTGTGGGTCTGGTCCAACATACTAAGAACTACACAAGTATTTGGTAAACAAATAACATAAGTAAAATGTCAGAGAAAGCTTTAATTTGGCCTTTCACGTGCGCTGCTTTGACTGTTCTCGGAGGATCCCTGAGGGTTCTGTGGGCGCTGCTGGTGGAGCGGGGCCGGGGGCTATGGGCAGAGGTCCAGGTCCCTCCCCGGCCCGGGCCACAGGGCAGCCAGACTGACCTGTTGTACGTCTGTACTTTAGCTGAGAATGTCTGGAGCAGGGACCCTAAGGTGAGTAGGAAGTGAACGGCACTAGTGTAAATGGTACTGCTAACTGGTGGTGTTTCTTCTTCTGTTTCCAGATGTTTCTTACTGTGTACCTCAGCAACAATGAGCAGCACTTCACAGAGGTCCCAGTTACCCCAGAAACCATATGCAGAGACGTGGTGGACCTGTGCAAAGAACCAGGCGAGAGTGACTGCCACTTGGCGGAAGTGTGGTGTGGCTCTGGTATGCGTGCTTTGGTTATGCCATCTTTTATTTTATTTTATTTCTCCCTTTTATTATTATTGGTTTTAGACGGGGCAGTGTGTGACACACATGTTTATCCATGGAGAGACTGTAGACTGGGGTGTCTGTTGGAGACGGTGTTCTCAGTCCAGCTTTGTTGTGACCTGTAAAGTCTTTCTGCTGTTTTCTTTCTCCACAGTACACTGAAGACAGTACAGTGTGAGAGGTCAGAGGATAGGCAGCCGGTACACCGGGGGAAGGCTTCGGGAGTGTTCATGCTAAATTGTATGATGCTCAGGAGGGTTTTTCATATGTTTAGCCTCCACTTAATTAGAAATTGGGAGCATCCTAGTTGTTTTGCCATCTCTGAGTTTTTGTAGGTTTTTAGAGAAAGCTCGTCTGTATTGAGTTACTGTGGTGACAGAAAGAAGTGGTGAAATCATAGCCATTATTTTAAGCCTTGAAATCAATCCCTTGCGTAGTTCTTTAGAGCTTTAGAATGGGACAGCCCGGTATCTTTTCAGCCCCTTAGGAGTTTGTAGATTCGGGAGTAATTTTTCATGATTTCTGCCTTGTTCCCGTACTGCCTGAGTGAGCTCCCACTTTTCTTTTTGTCCCTGGGGGTGAATGTCCCAGTGCAAGGTTACCCACAGTGTTCACACCGTTCACATCATTCATGGTACCTGACTGCAGCTGAGCGCCCACTGCTTCCCAGGCAAGTCCTCTTATGCATCTTCAGGTGACTTTCCTGCAGGTGGGGGTTCGGGGAGGTCTTCCGCACCCGCCTGAGTGGCGTGCTCCACATAGGAGCTAGATTAGACCACGACTGCAAAGAAACCCCAGTGATCCTTTTTAAAGGAAAATATGATAGTTTGCCTTACCTGCTGAAACTCTCTAGAGGCCTTCTCTTCTACTTAGAATAAAACCCAAACTCTTGATCTTGGATTGTGAGGTCTTTGCTGTCTGTCATCTGGTACCATTTTCCTCCTTGCCCGCCGCCTGCAGCTTTTTCATATTCCTGCATAAACGAGGCTCTTTCCCGCCTCAGAGCCGTTGGCACCAGCTGTTCCCACCGCCTGAATTGCCCTCCCTCCAGATTTTGTCATTGCTGGTTCTCTCTGGTCATTTGGATTTCAGCTAACTTCAAACGTCCTCAGAGATGCTTTTCCTGATCTTCCTACCAAAGCAGGCATGAAGTCTGTTATAGCATCCTTATTTGATCTCTGCAGAAGACCTGTCTCTGTGGTTTTGTGTGTGTGTTTATTAGTTTATTGCCTCTTTAATCCCTGTAACCCCAAACACATGCACAAGAATGTAAACTCCCTAAGAGTAGAGACCTGCTTGTCTGGTTCCTTGCTGTACCCAGCTCAGGGAGAGTGCCTGGTATTTAGTAGGTGCTCAGTAAATATTTACTGACAGAGTAAATGAGCTCTGAGCTGCTCTGGTAGCCTCTTTGCATTCAGCAAATTTCTTTGCTTTATGCTTTATCGAGATGGTTGAAACCACCCATTGTGAGTGTCCTCAGTTCCCTCCTTCTGTGCTCACCTTGGAGTGTGTGCCTGTCCTTCCTCCTGATTTTCCTAGAGGAAGAAGTGTTCTTTCTCGTTGCCAGGCCTCACTCTCATCCTTGAAACTCTTGATTCCACCTATTTCCTTTCCTCACTAGTATCTTGCTCACTTGAGTTCAGTAGCCTTTACTATGTAACGATGGTGTTTAAAGGATTTTCTTTCTTCTTTAATCAAAAAGATAACACTTGAATATGTTCTTTTTTTTTTAATGTGAAAGAGGAAATAATGTAGATAGAATGGAAATCTCTCCCCCAAGGTTATCCTTGTTGCTTGATGTATAATTGCTTTTAATTTTAGCGGATAACTTCACAGACTTTTTCTCTGCAATTGTAAGTAACTATATAGTTTTGTGTTGTCTCCTTCCCTGTTTTTTCTTTATGTAATAGTATCAACCTCTGCAGTTTACTATTTTACCCATAGCTTGGAGATCTTTTCAGAGTAGCATGTGTAAATCTGCACCATTGTATTTAATAATCGTGATTTTCCATAGTACTATCACAAACTGTAGTTGATCTAACCATTTCTTTTTTTGAAATGGTTGAAAATGCCCTTTATTTTTTATTGAAGTATAGTCAATTTATAACATTCTGTTAATTTCTGGTATACAGCCTAATGATTAAGTTGTGTGTGTGTGTGTATGTATATATATATATATATATATATATATATATATATATATATATATATATATAAATAAATTCCTTTTCATATTCTTTTTCATTATAGGCTATTACATGATATTGAATATAGTTCTCTGAGCTCTACAGTAGGATCTTGTTGTTTATCTATTTTATATATAGTAGTTGGTATCTGCAAATCCCAAACTCCCAATTTATCCCTTCCCACTCCCTTTTCCCCCAGTAACCATAAGTTTGTTTTCTCTGTATATAACCATTTCTTTATTCACAAACATATAAATGAATTCTCTTGTTTTTATAAATGCTGCAGTAAAAATCTTTGTAGGAGCCTCTTGATCTTGTGAAAGCATTTCTCTAGAGTAGATTCCAAGAAGTGGGATTGCTTAATTAAAGGTTCGCACATTCAAAAGTTTGACATATATTGCCAGATCTCCCTCAACAAGGGCTGTATATGTAAGTTCACAGTTCTCCCAGTTATTTCTGAGTGTCCCTCATTAACAAATGATACAATAATATTTTAATTTTTTGCTAAGCTGCTAGCTAAAGTTGCCCATTTTTTCATTTGTCTGTTGGCCATTTGGGTTTCCATTAAAAATGTTTCTTCATAACCTTTGCTCAGATTTCTTTTGGCTTTTGCCTTTTTCCTTCTCGATTTTTAGGTATTTAAAAAAAACCTGTTTTTGAATTCAGGCCTATTTGTGTGTTATTTAAAAAAAAAATCCTTTCTTTACTCCAAGATTGTAAACATATTATCCTAATATTCTTACTATTATGTTTTAAAGTTTCCCCCCACACTTCCTCATTAATTTTTGAGTACTGTGAATTAGAGATCTAATGTTTTACACCCTAATGGATAGTGAATTTTTAAGTGTCTTATTAAACAGTTGGTTTCTTCCTTACTGATGTGAAATGTTGCTTCACATTCTTGTTATATCTCATATGAAGTATGTTTCTATAAGCTTTAGTAAGTTACTTTTATTTTTTCTAGTTTATGGTAGTACTGAGCAGTTTTAATTACTGTAGTTTTATAGTAGGCTGTTTATCTGTAAGGCAAGTACTTATTTCATTATTCTGCTTTTTCAAAAAATGACCTGAACTATTCTTGAGTATTTTCTTTTTCGGATATGTTTTAGAATTACCTTGAAAGGGCCCATGAAAAGGTCTTTTGGGATTTTGATTGGTTGCAGTGAATTTATACTTAATTTGACGGTTGTTTGGATGGTGGTGTGATTAAGAACAAGGTCTTGGGTATAAAAATCTTGTCTCTTTCATTTACTTTATAAATAAAGCTTTATAACTTCAGGCAGGACACTTAATCTCTGTAATCCTCAAGTGTTTTCCCTGCAGAACTGGGGTGATAACTGAATCTATTGCGTAGGATTGTGGGAGGATCCCAGGAACTCCTATTTGAAGGGGGTTTAGCATTACCCCTGGCACTTTTAGTACTAGCTCTCAACAAGTTAATAGCTGATATGTTTTCATCTCCCCCTGTTTTGCTAGAAATTGTCCAAGGTGCCCACCCACTTTTAAAATAGTAAATCTTACTTCCATTTTGTTAGCTTCTTAATTTTCTCACTTCCTTTAACTGACAGTCTTTGAAAATAAGTTGCTTTTTGTTTGTCATCTCCATCTCCTTTCTATCCACTCATTTGTTTGCTGAGAGAACATTTCTTTGGATTCCTATTATGTGCTGGGAACTGTGCTTGATTGTGAGGAATAGAGATGAAAGTCTCCTGCCTTCAAGTAAAAGCAAGAATCAGCAGACATTTATAATACCACGTGATGACTACAGTAATAGATGGATGTGCTCTGTCTGCAGGAGAAACGGGTACTGGGTTTAGTTTTCAGTGCTAAGAATGGCTTGTTCAAAAACAGACATGGATGTCAGGACAAGGGGAGGGGTGTGGTTGGAGCTTGGAGTGAACAGGCAGCCTTGAGACTGAAGTATGTTTCAGTTTGTGCCAGCCTAAGTCTGATTTTTTGTCACTATTGGGCCATCAGGACTTTAGCTCCTAGACCTTATAAGAAGGTTTGTGCCCTTTTAAAAAGGTCTAACCCAGTATGGACTGGAAGTTACTTCATTTCCTTTGAATTCCCTCTTTGCTGCTGGAACCTGGGGATTTTGCTTCTTTTTTTTTTAAATAAAATGTTTATGTGTGAGTGGGTGGAGACTGCTCAGAATTTCCTTTAGGAGGGTGTCTACTCAGCTATGGGTTTTTCCTTTTGAGGATGGATCTTAGTTAGAATTTCTGTGGTTTAAACTAGAGGGGTAGCATGTCAACTCAATATGTTATGTTAATGTAAATAAAACCAGAAATGTACTTTGTGGCAACCTAGCAGATTAAGTTCAGTGGTTAGTTTACAGAATTGGCTGCAGAATGCTTGGCTGCTCCATTCTTCACCCCGTGTTGTTTATCTAAGATATCACATAGTGTCTTTGATTACCGACAAATGCAATGAGTTTTCTTAGGTTATTTCGGGATTCTTATATTAAAATTTATATTGACATTACTGAAATTATTTGATTTTAAGCAATTGCATCTTCAGTTTTTTAGTTTTGTATCCAGATCTCTTGAGAGTGGAAGATTTTTTTGAGGGAAGCCCAGGACAGTTTCTCCTAAAGTTCCCATTTTTTAAATATTTAGCTGTGCCCTTCTTTTTGTCTCTAGAAAAGTTCTGACAACTGGCAGTCTAACTGGAAGAAGGGCCAAATAGGCATATTTTCTGGACAGTAAACAGGCTTTCTTTTGGAAATGTATGCACCTTTTTTTTTTTTTAATATAGATTGTAAAATTATAATTTAAAACGAACAAACCCAATAGATAGTAAGACTTAGGCTATTTAGAGAGTTGTTTTTTAATTTTTCATGTGTATACTTAGAGAATCATTGGACCATTAGAGTTAGAAGGGACCTCAGAGACCATCCTGTGGGACACCCACAGAGCTTCAGTGGCATGCCTCGGGCTAGTAAGGAGCCCCCTGAATTAGATCCTGAGCTCCTGACAGTGGCTCAGATACAGTCTTCTTTCCAGGACTTCCACCCAAGTTTGATCCTGATTATATGTATGGAAAATCGGTGATACTTCATTTTCTTAGGGTTCTTTTAATTAAAGAAAAACATGATCTAAGATGCTAAATACTTTCTGCATTCATAACGCATAATTTGCATGAAGGATAGACAGCAAGTGGCATATTTGTCTTTACCTGCAGGTAATAGGATTTGTTCATTTCTTTTAGAACGTCCAGTTGCTGATAATGAGCGGATGTTTGATGTCCTGCAGCGGTTTGGAAGTCAGAGGAATGAAGTTCGGTTCTTCCTTCGCCATGAACGCCCCCCTGGCAGGGACGTTGGTAGGTAGCACCCTATGAATCCTAGCAAGGATCTGAACTTTTGTTTCATGCTCGGGCGTAGCTGGGGGAGAGGTAGCATGTGATCAGGAGTCAGGTAATTGGAGGGGTGAATGAGAGGTAAGGAAGTGGGAACAGTGAGGATGGACCACTGTTCGAAGCCCTGACTGGGTTTGGTGGGGAGAAAAAGGCATGGTTCTGTTCAGTTTGTTTTGCTTGAAGACAGGAGAAATTTGATGACAGTTTTTAATGCTGGTTGTGAGGAGTCAGTAGAGTAGGAGGTCGAAATGCAAGGAGGCAGTGCTTGATGGACATGTCACCAAGAAGGTGCTTGCTCAGCCCGGGCAGGCTGTCTTCTCCCGGCATTGGGGAGTCTCTTCCGTTGTAACAGGGTGGGAAGAGAACTGCGCAGAGGCAGGTAGCTCTGTGCCCTGTGGAGCAGCGGGAGGGGCTTCTCATCTGAAAACGTTTGTTTTCTCTGAGGTGGGAGGCAAAGTCCTCTGAAAGCGATAGAGGTGGGTGGCAGTTGGAGCTGTTGTGGAGAGCAGGCAAACGTGCCCCCTAGGGGAGCCAGGTTGCTGGGGTCCCTGGAGGCCAGTTGAGATTAGAGACCACGGGTGATTTTTCCCCAGTGGTGATCTGCAGCCCAGAGGTTTGTAAAAGGAGAAGATGATTGGATTGACCCAAGATTGGGGTTTGGCCAGACCAGCTCAATGCAGAGGCAGTGAGACAGGGAAGAAGAGGATGTTGGCAAGATGTCATCTAAGGTGGGTGGGGAGAAGTGAAGATGGTGGGGCCACAGGGAAGGAGCAGAGCAGGGCTAAGAGACTGCAAGTCTCAGATTAACAAATAGGTCTAGTAAGAGGACATTATGATCAAAAGGTAGAAAGTCTGAATTTAAGATTTCAGGGGTAGAGCACTTCTAGTGATGTGGTCCTGCATTGGATCATGAAGTGAGCCTGAATTAGGGTGGAGACAGGAACCACAGGATGGAGAGGCTGGATTCTGGATGGTGAGGTCATCCAGATTGAAGGCAGGACTTGGAGGGGAGAGAACAGGGCAGTCAAGAGGTCACATCTGTGGTGACTGCAGGTTGTGACCAGGGTGTATAGATGACAATAAGGAGAGGGTGGAAGGTGATACATGAAGGTGGAGAAATAGTGGGCTGAAAGCAGCATTAGACATTGGGGACAGGGCCATCCCCGTGACCTTGGAGATCTCGTAGGATGTGGGAGAAAAAGTTTCAAGTCTGAGATCTGTGGGGAAGCTTTGCTCTCAGTGGGAAGCCACTGATTGGAACAGGATTACTAGGTATTTCTAAAAATGTTGGAACTTTTAAAATGGAAAGTTGAGGGTTTGTGTTTTCAGCATGTAATTCTTGGGAGTAAAAATGTCAGTAACAGAGGTTAATTATTAGATGTCGTAAAGTCTCAATTTTATTCCTTTAATACAAATGTCCATGTGGCACCCACAATTAGAAATTATTAGAGTGTGAAGAACCCAGAATTGACTTAGTCTGGCCTCTTTCACTCTAGAGATGAGAAGTGCTGATACTTAGGGGTTAAATGACTGGTCAGAGGCCTCACACCTAGACACAGAGCCGGGGTGCAACTTGAGTCACCTCACCCAGACTGGCTCATCTGCCTTTCAGCATCACTGGTGTCTGTCATTTTATTTTAAATAAACATTTTTTTTTCCCCAAAGCTGTCCTTTTTTGTAGTTTAAGTTGACATTTATTTTGTTCTTTATTTACATTACTGCATACATCTTCTTTTAATAAATTAGTTGAATTTTACCCGTTCATCTACCAGTTCAAGTATCTTCCTGTATAGTACTGGGTAAATTATTAAATAGCTTCTCAGTAGTGCAATATGCAGTTTCAGTGTGTTCGTAATGTGAGAAATGTAATATGAAGATGAAGGCGCTGTTTTCACATTGTTGCAAAACACTGGTGCCACGTAGTGTCTAAACTGGGGAAAAAAAAACAGGATCGCTGTTCAGTGTCCTTTAATAAAGTGTTAACATTTTTAGTGTAGACTTCTGATTACAGATTAGGAGACTGTTACTGTATTCTTTCTCCAATTTAACTAGGACCTGTGACCCAGAATGATTTGAAATTATTTTTAAAGCTCTTGCTTTTTACATTGATTATGCCAGGGAGAAATTCGTTGAGTGCTCTCTCTTTGAGGCAGCAAAGAAAGCAATTATTCTTTTTTTTTTTAATTTTATTTTTGGAGGGGGAATAATTGGGTTGATTTATTTATTTATTTTAATGAAGGTACTGGGGATTGAACCCAGGACTTCGTGCATATTAAGCACATGCTCTGCCACTGAGCTATCCCCTCCCCTCACAATTATTCTTAAATAATAGATTTTTTTTTTTGCAGAATTATTGTGATAGATTACCTGAGCTATTTTGTGAGAGAATTGAACAGTATTTAAAAGTAAAGCTAACACACTGGAGTTAGGTGTAAGTGTGATGCCTGGCCCTGAGGATAGATGTATTTACTTACTGGCAGGGAATTTGTGCTAAGCTTCTAGGCAGGTGCAATAGACCTTTGATTCAAAAGCAATTTTAATCTAAAACTACTTGGGAGATAATTTAATAATTTTCCTAACTTCTGAGAAGTACAGATATAAGCTTAGTTTCATATATTTAAACAATTCTTTTTGTTGATATCATTTATTTCTTAAACTTCATCAGTTTAAATGAAGATTATTTTCCCTTCATGATGCATTAAGTGGTACTGAGAGTCCCAAATATTTTGGCTTGAAAAAGTCTTTTTAGCCAAAAAAGAGCACACAATGGTTTCCAGTTAGTTCTTTCCCCAAACTAAGAAAATGAAATTTTTTTACTCACCTAAATGGGGAAGTGCTTGATAGTACTTAGGAATTACCACAAAATGACCAAATATCCGAAATGCCACTTGTTCTGTTTTCAATTGCTTCCTTCCCATGTGAGTTACAGACACTCTTTAGTAAGTACAGGAATGGATTGATTTAATTTTCACTTTTTCCCCCAATGAAACCATTCCTGATTTCGCTATGGTGTGGCTAAAGAGAGAGCTAGGCGGAGCAGCTGTAAACAAATAGTGTGAATGACCCGTAATCAGAAGTACGTTTGTTTTCTTACATGTTCCCCCTTTGGTGTCTGAATCCTGCAGCTTTCCCCGGCAGCAGTCAGCCGTGACGTTTTCTAGTGCTGACTGTTCACTATTCCAAGTAAGGTTTTCCAGAACAGGCTGAATTATGAGACTTTAACTTCAGTGCTATTAGAAAATATTTTAAGTATATTTTCAACTTAAAATATCAAAGAGCAGTAATAATAGAACTGAGGAATGAACTGGTACCTGTATCTGTCAGTTCTGGTGTTAATGCCTACTGTTTGAATTTTGTACTCAGTGAGTGGACCAAGGTCTCAAGATCCAAGTTTAAAAAGAAATGGTGTAAAAGTTCCGGGTGAACATCGAAGAAAGGAGAATGGCGTAAGTGGTCCTTTTTATCCAGGCTGTGTTTACACCACAGTGATGCTGCTTTTTAACCTGTAAATCTCATTCACTTACTTTTTTATTCAGTGGATGTTTAAGAATGGGCCTTATTTTAAGTTTAGTTCATCAAAATGATTAATTCTAGTTACATTAATTCTAGCTCTCTACATGGCTGTTGAGTGAAGTTAGATGCTGACTATATCACAAATTCAGAACAAAACATGTTCAGCAAGTTTGAGAAAGCATTTGTTTTTTGGTGCTTTTATTTGTTGTTAGAATCACTTTTAGTGATTAATTATGTATTAATGCTCTTGCTGTTGTGTATGAATTTTAGCAAGTATCTTTGGGGTACCTTGTAGACATTTTCTTTTCAGAGCTCAGAATTTCTAATACTGTTAGGGATTAGCTAAATTACCTTTCTCCAATCTACACTGCTTCTACTCTGCCTTTCCCCAGATTCTTCCTGTTTCTCTTCTTTGACCTTCTGGTTATCTTACAGTGATGAAAGGCTGATAAAAGGATAACAAAAGTGGTCTTGGGCCATGAACAGGATTTCTGTGTCTCTTGACACAATTTATCTTTCCCACCGCTGGGTTTAAAAAAAATTGAATTATAATTGACATATAGTAAACTGCATATATTTCAGGGACACACTATGCTGAATGCATGTTTAGAGAGTGGACATTTTGCTTTGTCTCTGAATTTTTAAAATTCTAGTCTTGTATTTTTAAAGGGTTTTTTGATGCCTGTATTCTAGGTTTGCTGCCAGTGCCCCACTATCATGTTTAATATGATTTTGTTTAATATGATCAAACACTGCCTTCCTAATTTAAATGAACTACAGAACAAGGTAATTCTGAATTGTTCCATTTGTGTCGCCGACTATTGAAACTATTTAATTTAAATTTACAACCTCAAAGAGCGCTGGTCTGTATATTAGTATGTTTACATCTTTAAGAAGTCAGTGTTGGGGTATTAATGTTACAGAAGAAAAATGGCTAAATAATCTTGTCATGATCGGTTTAGGTGACACTTGTGGACAGACAGACCTTGGCGGGAGGAGTCTCTGTTCATTTTATACTAAGTTGGATTGTTTGCCATTTTTTATAGGTTAATAGTCCTCGGATGGATCTGACTCTTGCTGAACTTCAGGAAATGGCATCCCGCCAGCAGCAGCAGATTGAGGCCCAGCAACAAATGTTGGCCACAAAGGTAACATCTTACTTTGAAAGACCTAACAGACCACTACCGTTAATGTGTGTGTGACGCTGCTTCCCTCCCACCCTTGTTAGTGAGCCAGTTGCTTCACAGATATAAGTTGATCCTCTCAACCCAAAAGGTATCTGCCATGTGATGCTTTCTTCCCTTCCCTACAGCATTTTGTAGGAATCCTTAACTCATCCAGTTGTTCCAGGTCTTCCTGACCTTGATTCCGATCAGTATTATCCATGCTATGTTGTGTATCAGTAAAGCTGGAAAGGCATAAAGAACCCCTCAGCTTTGCTAGTAGGAACTGCTCTGGGCTAACCTTGACCTGAATCATTACTGCAGCAAGAGGAACTTCGGAGTCTGCTCTTGTGAACGCTGTCCTCTGCTGCTGCTTAGCACCTACAAAAGGCTGCTTGCCTTTATTTGGGGACATTCTCCACCCACACGCTAATCTTAGTCCTGTCCTTGGACAGAGGAAGCATGGGAAGCCTCTCCATTACCATCAAAAGCAACGTCGCTGCTGTTGCTCCTGCCAGCCATAGGCTTCCAGTCTAAACCAGATGTTGACAGCTGTTCTCTGTAAAGGGCTGTAAATATTTTATTTAGGTTTTGTGTGCTGTGCTGTCTCAGCTCTGCAGTTGTAGCAGGAAAGCAGATGTAGACAGCAGGGAATGGAATGGATGTGGCTGTGCACCAGTAAAACTTTCCTTACAAACACAGATAACAAGCTGGATTTCACCTGCAGGCTGTACTGTCCGCCAGTCCCTGGGCTGAACACTCAGTATCTGCTGCCGACCAGTCTTTGAGTGACTGAGTTCACTGATGCGGGGGTGGACAGCTGATGGTTTGGGTAGCAAGTGACCCAGCAGGACTTTGAAGTGATGGCCAGGGATTCTTTAAGGAGGGTCTCAGTATGCATTGTGGCCTGTAATCCTTCCTAGGGTTCCTTTCATCATTTCTATTTTTCATGCCAGACACCAGCTTTTTCAAAATTATGTGTATCATTGCTTGTCAGACTTTAATGTACATATGAATCACATAGGGATTTTGTTAAAAATGCATATTCTGATTCAGTAATTACAACATTTTGCATTTCTAACAGGGTCCCATGTGGTGCTGAGGCACCAGTCCTTGAGTAGCAGGGACATAAATTCAAATAAAAAAGGTGATTGTTAAAACAGGATAAATCTCTAACCTTGGAGTCTTATTTTGAAACTATTTCTGTGTTATTGATATGTTTTAGGTATATTAATCTGTGGCATTTACCTTTGATTATAAATTGTGTGGCTCTGTTACTCAGTTTTAGTTAAAAATTTTAGTGTAAAAGAAGTAAAATTTTAGGTTGTATAATTGCAACCTTCTGAAGGCACTAACTCTTTAGCTCTTTTCTAAGTGTACTGAGTGTGCACTATGTACAGTACTGTTCCAAGAGCTTTACCCTTTGCCTCTCATTTAATCCTCATTGTAGCCCTCTGAGGACCAGTGATCATCTCATTTCATAGGTGAAGACACCGACTTGTGTATTTGGTGAGGTTCTGTAACTCAGTGAGGTATATATCCAAAGTCTCATAGCTATTAAGTGGCAGAGCTTAGGTTTGAATCCAGATTTGACTTCAAATCTTATCATTTAACAGCTTTCTTTTACTGTCTCCCATCTCTACATGAGCTCCCTCTTAAAATTGGAGCCACAGTTCATGAAAACTAGTTCAAGGATCACTGCTTGTTTGCTGCACAAGACCACGTGGATTAGACATAGATTCTTGGATCTTATCTCCCAAGAAATAGGTTTCAGGGTGCCTGGGAGTGTCTGTATTTTACAGACTCCCCAGGTGGTTCTGACGGTGGTGTGGGACAGATGAGGAGACCAGAGCAACGCCACTGGTGCACCTCAGTCTGGCCATCTCAGGTGTGGTTAGGCTGATTGTGGGTTAGTGGTCTACCTGTTTAAGATGGTATGTCTGATGATGGCTTATGTCTGTAGGAACAGCGCTTGAAGTTTTTGAAGCAGCAGGATCAGCGTCAACAGCAACAAGCTGCTGAGCAGGAAAAGCTCAAGAGACTCAAAGAAATAGCTGAGAATCAGGAAGCTAAGCTGAAAAAAGTGAGGGCACTTAAAGGCCACGTGGAACAGAAAAGGCTAAGCAACGGAAAGCTTGGTGAGTTGTTCCCTGTCCGTCTGCTTCAGTGCTGAATGCTGCACCGGTAAACTGTCTGGGTGTAAGCAAACATACTGGTGTAGGAAATTTCTGTAAATTTGTAGTAAGTAAGTAGAATGAAATGAGACTTCATGTGTAGATCATTTTAAAAGGATTCTTTTGGAGAAGTAGAATTCACTGCAGTTTTGATGGTGCTGGTTCCCCTGAATTAAATTCAGCTGTTGAGTGTTTTAGACGAGGTTTCCAAGTTCCCTTTGGAAAATGTAGTAGTAGTTCTCTCTCTCCTGAAAATTGGATGAAGGCAAGGATTTTCATACAGTAGCTCCATCTATTACAGTACCATTTTAATTGACATTTTAGTGATGTGATTTAGAGATGTCTCTTGATTTCAGTTGCTTTTGAAAGAAATAGATTGGTTCCAGGACATTTCTGAAGTTTTTCTCTATTGTGAGAATGGTCATTGTACAGCCTTGTTGCCTGGGGAGCGGTCTGTTCTCATTTTTCTTTTCAACTTTTCAACTGTTGCATTTCTCGTTCTTACTTTAGTGGAAGAGATTGAACAGATGAATAGTTTGTTCCAGCAAAAGCAGAGGGAGCTCGTTCTGGCTGTGTCCAAAGTAGAGGAACTGACAAGGCAGCTGGAGATGCTCAAGAACGGTAGGATTGACGGTCACCACGACAACCAGTCTGCAGTGGCTGAGCTCGATCGGCTTTACAAGGAGCTACAGGTAAGCTGAGGCCGTGCGCGGCTTTCAGTGGAACCTCCGCTCCAGGCCGCAGTGTTGTCCACATCAGGGGCAGAAAGTGCTGGATTCTGGCTTCTTTTCCCTAAAGCTGGGAGGAGGAGGGAGGCCTAAACCCCACGGAATCCAGAATAAACTTTATGGTACCTCAGACAGGAAATCTGAGGCGTTCCTTATGACCACAGCTGGTGGTCTGACACTTAATTTTAAACCATGAGCTGAGACATGTGGAGGGACCTTACATTTTTAGAAATTATATAATAGAGAACCATGTGATTATCTGTTTGAGGAATTTTTCTTCCTACTCCTTGGCTACCCCCCCCCCCCATTTTGTTCAGTTGAGAAACAAACTGAACCAGGAGCAGAATGCCAAGTTGCAACAACAGAGGGAGTGTTTGAACAAGCGCAATTCAGAAGTGGCGCTCATGGACAAGCGTGTTAATGAGCTGAGGGACCGGCTGTGGAAGAAGAAGGCGGCCCTGCAGCAGAAAGAGAACCTTCCAGTGAGTGTGCTCTCGGCAGGGGGCCGGGAGGAGGGGATGATGACCAGCAGCGAGGTCAGCTCCTCGCGGTTGCGTCTTCAGAATCATTGCTCGGTGTGCCCTCAGGAAAGAGACAGGGCCCGCGGCTCCTAGAAAGAGAACTCACAGTTCTTGTGCTTTTTTGTATCATCACCTCTGTAGCTCTGCTCTTCCTTCTGATACTTGTGATAAAGTGTGGGTAAGAGTTCATCATTGTGGGCAGTTTTTGTTTGGGAATGTTTCTTGTAGACTCTGTGGCTAGATCCTAAAAGTGCCAATTTTCACAAAATTAAAACGATGACAGTAGCACAGGTTTTTCTGCGTCTGATCCACCGTAACTTGTAATACTAAAGGCCCTGTGCTTTTTCCGCAGGTTTCATCTGATGGCCACCTGCCCCAGCCGGGGGTGTCGGCGCCGAGTCGAGTGGCTGCAGTTGGGCCCTACATCCAGTCGGCCACCATGCCGCGGGTCCCCTCGCGGCCCGAACTCCTGGTGAAGCCAGCCCTGCCTGACGGTCCCCTGGCCACACCGGCTTCCGAGGGGCCAATGAAAGTCCAGACGCTGCCCAACATGCGATCTGGGGCTGCTTCACAAGCGAAAGGTAAAGCCAATCATTTCCAAGTCCTTCCCCTGCTAGCTGCTTCCCTGCTCACCATGATTTTCCCCCAGGTTTAAGTTTTAAAACGATGTCTTCCTGTTCCTTGTTCGTGTTGAAATTCTGAGAATATCCTTGTGTTCTTTAAGGGTTAAGAAATGATAAATAGCTTAGCCCTAAATAATACAGTCCTATTCAGGAAATGAAAAAAAACATAATATTTTTTGAAAACCTGAAAATTGTTTAGAATTCCTTCTCGTTACTAAGGAAATTTTGATCTGATGTTAGTAACTTGAGAACTTCTCTTTTTGTGTAAAAGTACCCTGAATGTGTTAGTGATGTCACCTTCACAGAATGTGAGATGGTGAATTCATTCTGTTGGTGAGTGATATTTACTGTTCGTATGTGCGTCTGCAGGAGAATTTGGCTGCTGATAATTTTTAGCATAAAGGTAAACATATTGGGAGATAAAAGTGAAAGAAACAGAGGCTCCTTGTGTTAGTGATCTTTGCATTCTGTGTGCAGCCCTCAGATACTTGGGCGATGCAAACCAGAGATTTATAATAGGAGGGGAAAATGAAGGGAGAGTTGTAGGAAAAGCAGGGCAAAAGCATCCTTTTATAATCTTATCGTAGATCCCTGGAGAAGAAAATAATAGCCAGAATTGTCTATTTCCCCTAGTCACTATCATGTGCAAATAGTAGCTGACTTTAAAATTATTTATTATTTTGCTGTAATTACTACTGTGAAGCAATAATGCTACGTAGTCTGGGTTTTATTGTAGAAGGAATTACTTTTGTTTCTATAAGGACAAGTAAAAGCTATGGCTTTGGAATTTAAATATCAGTGTAGAAAAAAATGTGAATATTCTGGTTTACAAAAGACTGGTCAGAGCCATGGGCTAAAAGTCTGCGTTTTTGCTTTTGTTTTGCCTTCATCACTTATGGTGTCATTATGTGAGATACACCTTAGAGCCCTCCATCTGATAAATTGGAAATTGTTTTCTGGGTGTGATGGTGACGTTTTCTTATCCGTGAAGAGTAATGTGTCCTTGTTGCTTCAAGCAGACTGTTAATCATGATTAATTTTAGTTTGTTTGACTAATCAAGAACACTCTTAAATTACAAGAAAAAAATCTAGTGTCTTTTAAGTATGTTTACTGGGATTGTTGTGAGTCTGAAATTTAACTCTGTTTTTTAGAAATTAAACTTTTTAGCAGCAAACGAACCATTAAAACTCCCTTGAGAATGCTGGGTTATTTGTCTTTGCTTTTCTGCATTCTAGGCTCTAAAATCCATCTGCTTGGCCCTGATTGGACTCCTCCGAATGCAGATCTTTTCTCGAGCCAAGCCTCTGCTTCCATGCCTAAAAGCTCTGGGAATGTACCAGACCAAGGTGAGGTTTACTGCTGCCCTTGGACATTCTGTTTTGCCCATCTAAAGGTCTGTGTATGCTTTTTCAGGTAGTTTATTTTCTAGTGTGTTAAAACTAGGACCATATTTCCAGAATAGCTTCGTTTAGCCAGGGAATTAAAATACTAACATTGTATTGTTGGCTATTCTTTACTCAGTATAATTTAAAAGTAGGAGAGCATTCAGTGGGTATAGATATTAAGGAGAGAGAAACATGCGAATAAGAAATTTTATCACAAGCCGTTTGATTATCGATGTGATTTTTTCCCCCATCTTCAGCTGATGATGGGGAGGTTCCGCTCAGGGAGAAGGAGAAGAAAGTGCGTCCCTTCTCCATGTTTGACACAGTGGACCAGTCCGCTGCCCCGCCTGCCTTCGGTTCTCTCAGGAAGAACCAGAGCAGTGAAGATATCTTGCGGGATGCTCAGGTACTTAAGAATGTGCCAGTTTGAAATTTAACGGTAATTCTGTATGCATTGTTAGAAGAGATAAAATGAGGGAGAGCAGGAAAAATGCAAATGTATCTGGAAGAGTAGAAAATATAACAGTGTTCTGCTATTTTAAATTCTGTTGCTCAAGTTTATTTGTGGTCTCAGAGAATGACTGACACACTTGCTTCTGGGTCATATTTCTTGTGATTCTCTGAAAAATATGGTGCATGGAAGAACATTGTGTCTTTGCTGCTCATTTACCTTGTTTCTTCAAAATTTGGAGTTGAGATTATGTCAAACAATTTGATGGTTAATCTTCTATAGCTGTTGGGATCCCAACCTTTGACAACTGGGCCACAGCTGCGTGCTCCAAGTTAGGAGGTTTTTTGGGGTTTTTTTTTTTTTTTTTTTGTTTTTCGTTGGTTGGTTCCGGGTACCCGTAAGGTTAGTTTCGACTTAGTAACGTAACGTGACGTACGTCGAACCGAAGGCA